AGAAATCATTTATTCCCATCTTAAACTTTTGTAAAGTGCTGTCCTTCACTACAGCCTATGACAACTCATTCTGTAAGTTAATCACCCCATTAAGAATGTAAAACTGCCTTAACCAAGTTGGCTTGTTTTTTCAAAATCTTTAACTTGTGCCTTCTGTTGTTATATGCAGAATATAGTACAAAGAAAGCTGACACCTTTATCCTATTTATCCTTATTGAGGAAATTTAACTATGATGTATCCCAGGCAAAATAAGGAAGGAGTTGAATCCCATTCTTGCTTGAAACAGAGCAATGCATTTTATTAATGATTATGGAGAAGTTCTGTAAAATATGTAGCAGATAGCAGCCTCAAGTAGAAAGGAGGCTAGTTTTATCTTAGGATGAAATAATCTCTCCAAAATTAAGCCATTGCACAAGCAATGTAAGTGACATCTCCTTTGCATGCATGTGTAAGTAACTTTCTGATTTTTGTTCTTCTTTAAGTAAAAACAGCATACCGTAAACTGTCATTGAAAGTCCATCCTGACAGAACCGAAGAAAGTCAGAAAGCAGAGGCAACAAAGAAATTTCAGACATTGGCTAAGGTCTACTTCATACTATCGGATCAAGAGAAGAGGGCTGTATATGATGAAACTGGTGAGTATTTTTTGTTTTAGTTTTCAGATTAAAGTATTGGCATATTATTTCAACATGAACCATAATAATTTTTATGGTTTACTCTGTGATTATGAAAGTTTAAAATGCAATGGTGTAAGATATTGGTAAATCCCGTAGTAGTTATTTTTTAAGTATTAGCCAAATCCAGCCTGATTTTAAAGCATTTGAAATTTAATATAATTTAAATGATGAGTTTGGAGGTTTCACAAATTAATCTTATTTTTACAAAAATGTTGAATTTTTAATTTTTTTTTTTACATTTATGAATTAAATCATAAAGTTTTGATATGAAATCATTACAGAAACAGAGAAAAAGAGAATTTTTCACTGCATATTCCTCAAAATAAAAGTACAGAGATACCAGTATCTTAATAGATTTCACCCTTGGCTGCTTGGAATGAGGAAGTAGCTGATCAAGAGGTGTACATAGTTGAGGACTCTGTCATTTAGTACACTGATAAAGTTATTTGTAAAGAGAAACATAGAAATTTTGACTAGATTTGCTTGCCAGACTCTAAAGAAGAAGACATTATTTTACATTTAATTGCTGCTACCAAGAAGCATTTGTATATTTTTTGTAGTGCATGTCTGAGCAGGTGGTTTTGGAAGTTGTAAATCAAAAGAGCTACTCAAAAAGCATTTAAGATTTCCTTCAAAGTTTTAAAGATAGAAATAGATTTGTGGCCCTTTCAGAAGTTCTCCCTTGGGCTATATGTAAGAATGAATTACTTAACAGGATTCATGGCTAAAATGAAAGATTATCAAATTTATGGTTAATGCAACAGGTGGGCTGATTGTACCTGAAGTGCAGTTTTATGAGTAAAGGTAAATTATATGTTACTGATTAATTCCATTTAAGCAGACTAGATAGCAAAATAATTGGGAAGCTTTCTAAAGACATTCATGAAGACAGTTTAAATTTGCATAGTGGTGTGAAAGCTTGGGAATTTGGAAATATATATATAAATTAATAACATAGTAGAGCATCAAAGAAATTGGATAATGACTTAGAGGTTCGGTTCGGCATGGTAGGAATTTAGGTTAAAAGTATATTTCATTCCCCAAAGGGGAATGAACTGTAACCAGGGTTGGTCAGAAACTTCTGTTTCTCTTCACTCCACTACATAATTAGAATTAAGTGGCCAGGGCTTTTAAGAATTAAATGCTTACATGAGTGAAGGTCTTAACTGATAATTTTCCAAGTAATGAGTTCACAAGCTGAGGGAAGAGCTGCGAGGAGACGTGGAGAAGAAGAGAAAGAAGGAGAGCTTTGCTGAGTTGTGTGTTGACTACGGAAGTTTTCTTTCTTTCGGCAGGACCTGTGCGTTGGATGACCCCATGGCATCATGCATTTGTAGATCAGAGACTGTAGATTAAAATACCATGTAAAGTGTAAACCATGGTTATACTCTCAGACCCACTATGTACCCCCTGAGAAGTGCAAAAGTACGTTTGGGGGTACATGTACCCCAGGTTGGGAATGTCTGACAGTGCATAAGTTATAAAAATAGTGTTTAGGGTAAGTCTGTCGGATTTAAAGAGAAACTTAGTTGCTGTTATTATATTAGGAATATCAAGAGCAAAATGAATGAGTTTAGTGTTCAAGTTGAAAAAAAGATTATGATATGATGAGTATTAGTGAAACTTGGTTAAACTTGTAGGATATTGATAATAGGAATTAATTGAAGTTCCGGGTTATAAGCTATTTAATAGTGATAATTTTTAAAGGAGAGAGTGGGGTTGCCTCTTTATTATAAAGGATGAACTGCACCTTTTGGTAATGAAGACAAAAATGGGTGCTTCTATAGCATGTGGTTTACAAAGATATTTACATTGTAGCATGTAGTAATTATTTTTAATGTTTTGCTACATGTTGAAATGAAAATACATTAAACTTTAGTTCTAAATTTTAATTAATTAAAAACTTTATTAATGTAGAATAGTACTAAGGCTAGTAGGCCCGGCATGGCCAGGTGGATAAGGCACTCGACTCGCAATTTGAGGGTCGCGGGTTTGAATCCCTGTCCCACCAAACATGCTCGCCCTTTCAGCCGTGGGGTCGTTATAATGTGACGGTCAATCCCACTATTCGTTGGTAAATAAGTAGCCCAAGAGTTGGCGGTGGGTGGTGATGACTAGTTGCCTTCCCTCTAGTCTTACACTGCTAAATTAGGGACGGCTAGCGCAGATAGCCCTTGTGTAGCTTTGCGCGAAATGCGAAAACAAACAAACTAAGGCTAGTAATTTTTTTAATAAAATTAGCAAAAGTTATTAAACTCATTCATAAATAACTTGTTTTGTGTGCATAAGTCCATTATGGCAAGCAAAAACTTTATTAAAGTGAATTTAAATTATTTTAGTATGCCAATTGAATATTATGTTTTTTTAACTAATTATCTTAATCTGTCAATCTAAATGAGTCTATATTAATGTGCCTTTTACTAACTAATCATCATTGACCCTGGTTTTTTTAAGGAACTTAATATTAATTTCAAGTTTTTTAGCTTAGGATACTATTTTCTTAATAATACATGTAACTCAGATGCCAGAAATATTGTTTAACACGCCTAAGTATTTTTTGTATTGCATTCTTCTAAAACTACTCATGTTATAGTAGGTTTATCACTTATAATTTATTGAAGGCACATTATAAAACTTACTTTCTTATTAGGATTTTTCATCCAGATAATCTTATTTGGTATCTAAAGAAGTTAAAAACATTGAATTGTGATGGATTATGGAAAAGCTGTGATATTTCATGATAAATGTCAAGTACAATGGCAAAAAAATGCTATTGCAAGAAAAAATAGTTGTAATATTTTTTCTCTCAATTAATATATAACATATAAACTGTCTTTCTGGACATTTATTTTGAACATTTATGTCAGTCCAATTTTGCCACATAAGGTTCATTGTTTGGGGAAAAGCCAAGAAAAAAAGTAGTTAGATAACATTACAAACCTAGTTTCCACTTCTAAGTTCTAATGACTGTTTTAGTATTTTGTAGTTTTGTTCAGGATTATTGCATGTTTTGGTATTGGATAAAAGCGTGAAGTTTATTACTTTAAATTTATAATGGTTTGACATATTTTAGATACTTCTTTGTAAAGAGAAAATATAAATTTTATGTTTGAAGAATAAAGAATATCAGTGTTTGAAAACAATGTTATTTGCAGTCTTTTACTGTATTTTATTAGCATTAAGTACTGATTTTTTACAAACATCATTGGATTTTGGCTTTCTTTTACAGCTAAATATCATATGGACAGAATATGAAAAGTTAATGGCTCATATTTAACTTGAAAAGCTGCCTATAATTTTGTGACCTCATCAAAAATATTTAATCAATATAAAAACCTAACGTACATACCCCACCCCCCAGTAAGGATGCTTGCCATATTCTTTGCTTGTATATTAAGTGCATCTTCAAGTGAAAGTATGTGCACTTGGAATATTAAATCTTTAATAAATAGTCTCTACATGATACAGTGCTGAAATTCTGTTTGAATTCTAAAACATTGCACTGTTTTTTGTTTTTTTTAATAATTGATATCATTTGTAACTGCAATGGATAATTATGCGTTATGTGGAGTATAGTGTAAGCACTAATGAATTCTTTCTTGCACAAGCAAGATTGAGAAAATGTTACCTGATTACATACAGGTTAATTTTACTGTGGGTATTTGTTTTGCAACACTAGGATTTTTGAGAATAGAGAGCTGCTAGAACAGATTTACCCATCCATTAAAGTACACCTGGCTAGATAAAAATAGTTTTTTTTATTTGCACGCAGGTGAAGTTGATGATGAAAATGACATCCCACCAGAAAGAGACTGGTCAGTTTATTGGAGACTGTTGTTTCCGAAAGTTTCTCAGAAGGATATAGAAAATTATTTGAAAAAATATAAAGGTAGGCATAAAGTTATATTTTGTAATATTCTTACAGTATTTGTTGCTTACATACTTGCTATGTATTTCAATGTACAGTTTTAAAGTATTGTTGAGGCCCCAAATATTTTAATGAAAAAATGATGTAACACATTAAAAACAATATCTAGACTGTGTTACTGTCATACATAAAACAATATCTAGACTGTGTTACTGTCATACAACAAACAATATCTAGACTGTGTTACTGTCATACAACAAACAATATCTAGACTGTGTTACTGTCATACAACAAACAATATCTAGACTGTGTTACTGTCATACAACAAACAATATCTAGACTGTGTTACTGTCATACAACAAACAATATCTAGACTGTTACTGTCATACAACAAACAATATCTAGACTGTTACTGTCGTACATAAAACAATATCTAAACTGTGTTACTGTTATACATAAAACAATATCTAGACTGTGTTAATGTCATACATAAAACAATATCTAGACTGTGTTACTGTCATACATAAAACAATATCTAGACTGTGTTACTGTCATACATATTAATGAAAAATATCAGTAACTTGACCCAAAATGTTTTAATCCTGAACTATGGTATATTTCTGTTTAAATTTTCTATTCTCTTATTTTATTCTTACTAGTCCAGTTAGTGATGAAATATTTGGGGTTGCTTGTGATAAGAAAATTTGTTTCAGAGTGCATTATAATTGGTTACACTTTTCCACTTGTCAAGTTTTACTAGAGTTCAGTTTAATGTATGTTCATATAAATTTTTTGTGTTGTCTTGTTATTTATTAAGTTATTAATAATTAAGAATGAGAGTAATTCCTACCTCTTTAAGTTAAAGTTAAAAGTAATTTGCAAAAGGAGGAATCACAACTTTTTTCAATGCTGCTGTCTTTCATCCTGCATTTGCTTAAAAACTTAGAGTTAAAATAAAATTAAGTTTTTTTTGTGTATGAACTTGTTTGTTTAAACATTTTTATTTAATAAAGGTTCATACATGTCCTTTTGATTCAGTTTTTATATTACTATTACATTATTTCTATTGAAACAGTACTATTTCATATGTTTTAGGTTTAGATATATTATTATCTCATTTGGTAAGTTCAAATTGCTCATTAACACTGCCCAGGTTTTGTCTTTGACATCTTAAGCAGCTTATAAACAAATTTTACATCTTATGTAGTATTCACATTCCTGAGATCTCCTGTTGTGATCATTTTGTTTATTTCTTTGTGATTTTTCTTTTTATAATTTTATTTGATTCAAAATTATTAATTTTTTATCTTGATATTTAATTTCAATTCAGCACTGGTGTGCTGATATGAAACAACCTTTTTGTGTGAACCTGTAATGTGAGATAGAGCTAAAATAGTAATTTGGTTATAGTTGCTATAAAGTTCCTCTTCTATACTGTTTTTTGATAAAAATTTACGGTATTGTTAGCAAATATGTGAATGGTTTAATTATGATGAAAGTTAATGACAGCTTGTTTAGATATTCAAATGACTAGTGTTTAGTAACCATTAATTTTAACATTTTTTCACAAAAATTAGGGATAATTATCTTCTGCGGTAAAGATGGGTATTTTAAAAGTATTCTTGAAATATAATCATGTTTCCAGTGTCAGTCACTGTATTTATAGAAGTATTATTCTGGCTATAAAGATGGTAATGTTTTAACTTTAACAACAACAACAAAAAAAAGAATATTGTATATAGCCTTATTTATTAAGATTCCAATTTTCAGGTTATGGATTGAAATTGTAAGGTGTAATTAAAATAGGAATATTAAAAAATTGTAGTCATTTCTGTTCGAAGAGGAAGCTTGAATAATATCTACTGTTAGGCGGACATTAGGAATTGAGATGTGATGAATATAAAGGTTTTGGAATGTTCATTAGAGCTGTAATGATTCGCCTAACTTGCAGTTCATTGGCTACAGTTTGTGCTGCAGTTTGGTTTTTCTTCTTTTTCTGAACGTCCTTTTCTACATTATATAGAAATGAATGCTTTGAATAAGTTACAAACTTACCTTTCTGTGCAAGTACTTGTTCAGTCTGTGTACTGTATAACCATTTTAAATATAGATTTTGATATTTTTACTAAAACAGCTTGGAAAATTCATTAGTTGGGTTTCTAATTACTCACGAATATGACCTATCAAATCATTCAATAAACCCAACTACCAAAGTGTAGAATAGAAGATGCACTCTCGTCATACAAATCTGCTGTTTGGAAATATCTTAGGTTTGAAATTTTGAATGTAAATGAAGTAAGAAAACTGATCATTCAAAAACAATGTGTAGAATGTATGAGATGGAGGTCATTTATAAAATGGGAACAACATCAAACATTGCCACACACCTGAGAAGAAAACATGATATTATGTTACAAGAAATGGAGAAAATTAAAGGCAAGCTGTCATTAGCTTCACTTTCTGTAAGCAGTAAAGGGTTCTGTGCTCCTCAGCTGAAACTTCAGGAAGTATTTTAAATTAAATTAAACCTGAGCAGTTTAAGGGGAAAAGAAATAATGAGCCATTGGAATATTTATGGCTGAAGACATGAGTCCATTTTCAGTAGTAGATAATCCTGGTTTTAAGACTGTTTTAAGGTTTAAAAACCTTAAACAGTCTTAAAGCCAAGACATGTGATTTCTTCTACGACTCACTTTTGTACTGTAGTAATTCTGAAGAGGCAAAAGACGAGCTTGACACTGAACTGAAAGGTGCTTCTTCTGTTGCCCTTATAAGTGAGGAATGGAATTCATGATCTGCTATTAGCTAAATTACTATTACTGACCAGTTTATAAGCAACAACTGTTCTATATTTAAGACTGGTAAGTGAGTTGTGTACAGACGAGCATGTGGCAGATGTACTGATAGGTTAGTAGGGTGGTTGAAAAGGTAGTTTCTTTTTTTCACAGAAGTACAGTGGCAAATGCTAAATTGAAAGCAAATCAGCTTAATTTAAGAAAGTTGAGAAGTGCTAATAAGATACTTCTACCCTGTATCAAATTTTAACAGAAATGTACTGTAACTTTGCTTAGATTCCTTTAAATTTTCAACCCTTATAGGTATTTTAAAAATCTTAATATATATATTTTTAGATGAATTACTAAAAATGCCACAGGGGGCAGTAAATTATGAAACACTTTTACATATTTATTGATTTTTCACTAAAAGTTAAATATATTTTGTGAAGTAACTTGCTTAAATTTGTGAAATTCCAAACACGTTTTGTTAGTAAGACAAAGGTACTTTCTCACACACATTTCTTTGATTTTCACTCTGCATTTTAGAATATTAGATGGTGTACAGTTTAGAACAAATACTGCTTCAAAACAGAAATGCCTATCTACCAGAACTTCTTGATACAGAAATACCAACTGTTAATCAATATTTATATCACAAGTTATTGAAAATCCTTTAATACTGTCACAAAGAAATAAGAATATAGCTAGAACATTCTTCTTTTTACTTTCTCAATAAAAAAAAAAGTCTAAAATGCAAGTGAAGTATCACAGCTTGCTACGCCTTTTTATCATAATTAGATTGTAACTGTTAGAACATTTGTGTAAGAGATTACTTAAGATATTTTTGTCTCTTATTGTATTGGAATAATATACTATTGTGGAACTATTTATACAAAAGAAGGAACATTGAAAATTTTCCTTAATAAGATGGGATTGACATTTTAAAATAACTTTAAGCCTCAGAAGGAAGTTGCGTAAAAACTGAAAATAATATAAGAAAATTCAAAAAAGAAGTTGGAAACTAAAAGAAAATGAGAGTGCACGACAAGAAAGGATGAGCATAATCAAGAGAATGAACAAAGTATTAACCCTTTTGAGATGGGTCATAGGTGAAAGACCATGTCATCTCATTTGTTGACTCGCATTCAAAATTTTATTGAACTACTATTTCATGAATTTATGTCAGTTTAGTTTAGTATCAAACTGTAGACTATAATTCAAATTTTATAACTATACATTACTCATTTTCTTAATTTAAAAGTAAATATAAAAACACCAACAGATAA